TCTAGGTGGTACATCCAAGGTCTGCCCATCACTGATATTCCTTTCTCTAGCCCCCCCTCCCTTTACAAATCTGAGAGTCATGGGAACATGTTGATGTGGAATCAATTATGAAAGCCATACAAGTTCTATAATTGACTTCAAAGTCTGGGAGGAAGTGGAAAGAATTTGTGTAGTTCAAGGCCAAAACTTTCTGAAGTAAAACTGTATAGTTCTTCCCAATTCTCCTTCAGATAGACACAACAGATTTATATCAAACAGTTACAGTGCATAGATTTCAGAAGAAATAAATGCCATCCCACACAAACTTGCTTCCCCAATCAATGTTACCAGAAGCTATTGTTTTATTTAGCAAACTCCTTGAGGTACATGACTGATGAACAGGTCTTAGTTATGTGTGAGTGCTTGAATAGTAGTAGGCTTAAAGAGCCTAGTGGTTACTACACTTTACTTCCTCTTTTATTTGAAAGGTAGGATGGGATGAGATGGGGTAGGGTGGGAGTAGGAATAGGGATGGACAGGACTGTTAACTTAAGGGTACCTTTACGAACTATCATCTGGACTTGGAGATTAAGGCTCTGTCCAGATGTGATTCCTTTATCCTGTTCATCACTTTATTCAATAATTGGACTGTGTAAAGTGCTTTTACATTGGAACAGATAATTGGTCTCCCCAAATGTACACTCCCACAGAAACACTTCATTTCAAATCAGGTGAAATGATAAAGGGATAGAAGAAAAAGCTTAGCTTAAGTTCCTTATAACAAAAGGAACAACTGCATTCCTAAGCTGATTATTGATATAGTGCTGCTGAATGGGTGCTGTGACATCTGCAGCTATATACCTTCCAAAGAATCTGTTTCTTGGCAGAGATAAAGGGATGATCAGGATAAAGGGATGATATCAAATATCTGTGATCACATCTTTCATTTATTTTGAAAATTCACACATCTTACATTCTAAGTATAGTAGTTCTGTTCAACGGAGGAGGGAGGAAAATAAAAGCCAAAAACAACATATTTCTTTGGCTGATGAAATGAGAATGCTGCGAAGCAAGAAAGAAACCAAATTACTGATCTAAAATGTTCCAAAAATAATTTGATAATGAAACAAAAGGAAATTAAGTGGTGTGTTTATTTTTCTGGGCAACCGAAGTGTATGGACATGTCTCTTGGCATAGAAAATTTCATAAACCAAAACAGGCACTGCTTTGCCTGCTATAAGCGGCAGCTCCTAGAGTTGATATTAAAAGCTGGTTATTTTTTTTTTAAACAAGCTTCTGAATGGATGCTAACGAGAACTCGAGAGCAATACTGATACGTATGACATAAAAAGAAGGATGCTGCTGTCATGGAAACAGACTGCAGGGAGTCAGACACATTGGCGTAAGGCTGGCAGGAATCATGAGGCTTGCATCATGCCCTCCCCAGATATGCTCAGCCTAAACTGTGGGCAATAACTACAGTTAGAACTTGCCAACATTACACCTGGTATTTAGGGTCTGACTTCTACTTCCTCTGGAAAAGCAAATTTGCTAGCCCACTCAAACATTAAGACTATTCAAAATATGTCTAGTTTGTAAACAAAATTGTTTTCTGGATATAATATTAAAATATGAAGTAGGTTCAGAGGTGGTATTCAGCAGGTTCTGACCAGTTCTGGAGAACCGGTAGTGGAAATTTTGAGTAGTTCAGAGAACCGGCAAATACCACCTCTGACTAAAGATTTTACAGTATCCTTCCCCTACCACGCCCACCAAGCCACGCCCACAGGGACGGTAGTAAAAATTTGTTGAATCCCACCACTGAGTAGGTTCATGATATCTTTTTCAAGTTTTTAAACGCAATGACGGCAAAGTGGGAGCCTAGGAGCTTCCTGCCCTCTCTGCATTGGGATGAGCACTTCCATAAGAGGATTTTAGATTAAGGAGCAGAGCGCTTGCTTTGCTTACAAAAAGTCTTTAATTCAGTCCTGGGAATCTCTACAAGGCTGCCTGTTAGTAGTTACAATATTAAGCAGAGGAATTGATGGCTGGGCTTTAGAACAGGAAGCATCCCATTATGTTTACCTGCTCCTGGGGAAGAGGGTTCAAAGCCACTGGAGGCGTCACTGCAGGCATTTGAAGCTTGTTCAGAAAGCTTCTTCTTTGAGCTCCCATCCGCAGACTTGTGGGACTTCTTTTTGTTCTTCACCAGAATTTTGTACATCAGGTCCGCTGGGCTAGGAAGTGGGATTCCACGTTCAAGCTGATCGGAAAGAGATAAGGGTAGCAAAGAAACCTCTTTGAGAAGTATTTACTTCTAATTTCCCTGATCTGTCTTTTAACAGAAAAAAATATTTACACAAAGCCTATCCCCACATGTACTTGTATTAAATATTTTAAGATTATTTAAGATTGTTTTTTTCTTTTAATGGCTGCCTATGCTTCCACAGACAGGACTTAATTTCACCAAGACAAATTCCTTGTGTGTCCAATCACACTTGACCAATAAAGTATTCTATCTATCTATCTATCTATCTATCTATCTATCTATCTATCTATCTATCTATCTATCTATCTATCTTATCTATAAATGTTTGCTGCCTGCTACATTTTCCTTCTACTGCAACATACTACACATTCGTTATATACACATACAATAATACTATATGCCTTCTACACGATTAGCGGTGATGCTCTTCCATCTTTAATTCTGATAGAAAGTACTGTATTTGAACCTCTAATGGCAGCAGATACCCGCTGAATCTTTGTATGGGATATCCTTATTATCACTCTTGTTCAATAAACTACCTTAACCTTAAAAATGTAATATCAACATACAAAATGTGTGCTGTGCTATATGGATTTCTCTATTAAAAAATGAGTCACATAGTCATGATAATTCCAAAGAAAAAAGTTTAGCTTTTTAATTTCCTTTCCTTAGTGTCTTTAAAACACATCTTATAAGCACACGGTACTCCTTTTACCCACCTCAGTCTAAGCTATTTATCTCCTGGGACAAAAGACAATTTAACCTGTTTTTCTGTCTGTGGTCACTTTATGTTTCTAATGAATTCCCCCCACCCCTCATGTCTTCAGGTGGTGCTCTGTATCATAAGTGAAAGAAAATCCCTGCTAATGCATCTTGCTAATGTAGGATAATGCACGTACAAAAGTACAGAACAGGATTTTTAAATTACATAGTAGATATCATATTAGATAATTTTAAAGAAGGACTTAACAGGTGCATTGAAGATAGGGCTACTAGAGCTTATTAGTCCTGATGGCTGTTTGTTAGTTTCATATCACAGGTAACATACCAAGTATATCAGCTATGGAGTAACCATGGACGAAATCTATTCCCTCTCTATCAATAAATATGGCCTTTGTGAAGGGATATGGTTGATCACTTTGTGTAAACAGAATGCTAGGTTGGATGACTGTTAGCCTGATCTATCAGGGCCATTCTTAATATTTATTATCAGCTGTCTCATCATTACTTGTACTACAAATATTTGAGCAGCAAGAATAAGCCTGGATTCCGTAAATCTTAAAAGTGACTACACAGCACAAGATCCCCTGTATGTGTGAGATACCACTAACAACCCACTTGTCAATGGGACAAAATGATTGTTTACCAAAGGGAGATCTGGAAGAACCCACGTCACCAGAAATATACTAGATATGTATGGTTTTTAAAAAAATAATTAGTATCCTAGTAAATAATATTTGCTCTCTGGTGTTTGATTCTACCTGGGACACAAAACTACTCAACCAATGGTGGTATGCTACCGGTTCGGCCCGGTTTTGCCGAGCCAGGAGCAGCAATGAGCAGTGGAGACCGAACCGGTTCTCTCCACTGCTCTGCTGTTGGGCCCGCCCATCTGCCTGGGCCGCCATACTCACCTTTATCTTCTGCTTTTGAAGCGCAGCTGCTTTGAACAGCACAGAAGAGTGCTGCGTGGCAGCTGCTGAATCAACCAGGAGAGTGCAGGCTTGCAGTAGGTGAGTTAGAACGCCTCTGCAGCTGCGCAAACACCTCTGCGGCTGCACAAAGTGCGTGTTTGGTGTGCACGCATACGCAAAGTGTGTGCACGCGCGCAAAGCATGCCCACCAAGCCACACCCACTGAACCGTTGGTAAAAGTTTTTGAATCCCACCACTGTACTCAACCACCAAAAAACAATTTAAATTACATTGAAGCATTTTTGCTGGTACAGCTTGCACAGAAGATTATGGTCTTTGTTAAGCTTTCACATGTAGACCTGGCATGGATAGGATAAGGTTAAAGACTGCTTTGGAATGAATTCAAATCCTCAAAACAAAATAAAAACATTCTTACAGTTTTGATACAACTCTCGTGCTGCTCAACCCAAATAAATAATATTTTGGGAAATGAACTCGACTTTACAGCAAAGTAGAGTTCATTTAAAAGTCCTTGTTACAATTTTTTTGTGAAAGCATACATTATACAAGAAGGCCATGTGCTTCAAATATATTTCAAAGATATATGCCTTCAACTCTCAATTGCCTAAAAATAAATAAATTAAAAAAAACCAGACATTCCCCATAAAGAAAGAAATTCATTAAGTTGGAAGATAGGAAGGAACCATAGAAACTTAAACTTCTAGATTAAATATTACTTGATGTAGTCAAATAGTCAACAAAGCTAAATAAATAAAAAGGTACTTACTGGGTATTTTTCTAGTGGTTCCATCAGCAAACCATCTCCAAATATTAACCGGCAATATTCTGCCATTTTTGCCTGCTGTTTAGGGCTAATAGCGGAAGAAATTGTGAAATTAAATAAGGCTTTTTTATAATGTCAGAAATGGAGGATATAATACACTCTAACTAGATGAAGAGGTATAATTTTCCAATCTTATTGTCTTAAATTGTACTCGGTGATCTAAAGTCATTATATTATTAATTTGACTTCAACAACAGCTTTCTTGCCACATTTTTACATTAATCAGCACAATAAAAGTTCTCATTTGTAGTTTGTCATTAATAGTAATACAAGGAAAACAATGAACCTGCCTACATACATACAAGAAACGACATGCTTAAGAAAATACAGAAAATTATTTTCACATCTACGTACTCTTAAAAATATTTATATTGATCTACAATAGAAGAGAATATTGAACTGTTGAGTCCTTTGGGCTCTCTAAGCTTGGTTGTTTGCTTGTAGACATTTCATTACCCAGCTAAACAACATCATCAGTGCAAGCAAGTATGCTTTCTGTGCTTTCTCCCTTAACCCCACACTCATTTACACATTAAGATCCATTTCCTTTTGCCGTAGACGTGAGCCATGTCTGTCTGTCCTTCCTTCCTTCCTTCCTTCCTTCCTTCCTTCCTTCCTTCCTTCCTTCCTTCCTCCCTCCCTCCCTCCCTCCCTCCCTCCCTCCCTCAAATTCCTGTCAATTTCTCCATTTATTTTCCTTGTACAAAGCTTGCAGGGAGAAAGTTAAGTAGTGGCTGCTAGATGGGGCAGTGGGGAGAACAAGTGTGTGTGTGGGGATCAGGAGTATCGCATGGGTTGGGAAGGCTGTGTACGTGTGCACCAAGGATACCACATGAGCAGAGAGAGCCCAAGGGTAGGTGATATAGGTTGAGAAGGCTTCCCTTTCCCTTTCTTTCCTTTCTCTTCCCTTCTCAACAGGCAGGGAAATGGCTGCTGCTGCACTGTGAAGGAAGTGAGGGATTGTGAAAATGGCTGGGAAATTGTCACAGAGCTTTAAAAATAAAGATCATGTGGCTGCAGCGGCTGTGCAGACTGCAGTGAGTGATGTTGCTGTGCAACAATAACCAACAGCACTAAAGCAGTTACAGTTTTATCAAAATTCATCCCCTCGGACATATTTTGGACATATTCTGTAAATTATCTCATATGAGGTACTGTGGTTTGAAACTTGTTGCCCTATCATGTACCATTTTACCCAATGAAGGGTCATAGTTTTAGTAATATATAGATTATAGATCCCCTACGAGCTCTGGAAAAAAATAGTAACTTAGTTTGACTGGGGTATACCGCAAGTTCTCCCTTCGCATGTAAATAAATGCCTGAGATGACAAGAAGCGTTCATGCAAAAGAGCTATATTACAATTTAATACTTTTTTTTAACCTGTAGCAAAAATTTACAACACTCAAATGTTACTGATGCATCTTATCTACTGCAACCTGCTTGGAAACGACATCATATTCAATTGCCAACACTGGAAAACCAGATTCTTCCCCCTCCCTTTGGCAAAATGGATTCCCCCATCCCCAATATATTAAGTCATTTACTACCAAACTTTAAATGCCGCCCAGTTCCAAAATGATTCTAAGTATCTTACAAATAGTACAAGGTAGAAAGAATTAAATTGGGGGGCGGGGGTGGTGGTGAAAGCCCATGCTAAATACCAACAACTGACATGCAGGGAAACTGTGCTAGCAGCAACTGATTGCAGGGAGGGATTCCCCAAAGACTTTTTTAGTCCAGGGGAGAAAATATAAGAAAATTCTGCTTCATAAGTAGAAATCATCCATGTAGGAAACTGGACATAACTGACTAAAAACTTTATTTATACAAAAATCTAAATTACTTACGAATCCACATGATTCTCAAAAGAGAGGAGTATAGGGAAAGGAGATGTCTTAAATGCACATTCAGCAATAGCTTCTATGACTTCCTAGAAAGGAAAAAACAAAGAACACGTTTTCCCTTGAGAAAAAAAAGTATTTAACACACAAACACAAAGCGGTTTTGACAGTTTCTCTGACCCACACACTCAGGATTGTATAATTCTTAAAAGAACAAGGCATTAAGTTTGTCTCAGTGTGACTAGCCTTCTAATCTTCAAGCCCAGTAAAATGCTATTGGCATGTGGGAGAATAAACAGCAGTTTGTATTTAGAAATGTGTGTTCACAGGGCTCACAACAGTATTCCTAAAGCTTCGCTTTTAGACATTTTGTGTAATAAAACAGTTATGTATTGCCAGGTAACCTTTATTGTACTTGAAAAGAAGAACTTCTTTTCAGTACCATTAAATTGCCACTCTTTAGTTATGCCTGAGTTTAATAAATCCTTGAGTATCTGACAGAACAAAAGAAAAGGGATGCGTGTTAAACTGCAATTTGTATTCTGTATAAACCCAGGCACAGTGGTGAAATGCTATCGGCCGAACCAGTAGTAAAAAAAAGCTCCAATGATTAGCTGAAAGGAGAAAGAAGAGAAAAGCACAGGATCGGCCCTCCCTTTCTTTATCCTCTCTGCTGATTGGTGTGGCAGAGCCACAGCTGGTGTTTGGAAAGCTGTGCACGCACCCAATCACCAAACCGGTAGGGAAACTGGTAGAATCCCACCACTGCCAGACACTATAGTTGGTAGAATATATATGAATCTACTTAGTGGTACATTCAATGTGCCAGGACAACAACAAAAATCTGGTATAGCACAAGGGGGAACCCCCAGTAGCTGATCCAGAAGGAAGCCAAGAAACTCCCGATTAGTATATGCTTATCCCAACCTGGAGCCATTCTTATCCCTGCAGCCAGAAACATGCTTGCAAAATTTGTAGGTTGGGATGGGCCCTGTTAGTTAATCTGACTTAACCTCACACAGTGATTTTACTTAACCTGTTGTCTGATGCTTAAAGACTTGGGTGGGGGGGTGTATGGGAAGGCTTTTCAATTATTAAGAATACTCCCTGTCCTGTTCCCCCCCCCCCCCCAATGGATTTACTTCCTCAGGGAACAAATACTGGTAGAATGTGTGAAAAACCAGTAGGATTTAGCTGAAATGGAGACCGCTTCTGTACTAGCTGATGTAGGTTAAGGGTTGCTTTGTCTCTTTACAAATTTACTTGCCTGTAGGTTTTTTTTAATGCTTAAAACTATTCGTATAAAAAACTGCTTTCTCCTTCCCAAGGAGTGTCTTAAACTTTGGTATAGGACTATGGACAGTCTGTGCAGCATGATATAAAGTTATTGGACTACTGATATATTCATTGAAGCACTGAAGTATACATTTTCTTATATAGTGATAATTATGATGAAAAATTATATAGCTCAGCAAAGATATGAAGATTTACACATTTGCCATGTTCACCTTACCATGCTTTTAAAATTAGTTACAAATTGCCTTAGCTGAAAGGCGCCATAGAAATCTAAACCTTTAGTAGTAAAAATATGTCATATAATTCAACATAATTATACAGGATAGGAAAACAATCATAATGCTATTTTTGCACAAAAAAATACTTCCAGAAAAATTAAACTTATTCAGATAATTACTTATCCACTAATTGCCTAAGAGGAGAGAACAGAGAAGGTTTTTAATTTACCCGGCCTAGAGAAATTTTTAAGAAAAAAAAAGGGATGTATGCACATATGTACAGTATATACATTCCATAAGTGGAAATTTTGTTCCTCCAGATCACAGACACCAAAACAACACAATACAACACAAAAATAAAAAGTTTGATTTTCACTTCTCATCTAGTATTGTTGACTGAAGAACTTTTAATTGGTACCAATTCAGTAAAACAAATGCACTAAAGTTTAAACTAAAATACTTTTATTATAATTTTGTCGTGCAAAATGTAAATACAGTGTATCAATACAAGAAAAAAAAAATCAACAGTATGTAAATTTTGGAGGAGATTCTTTTAATATAACTAACCATCAGATAAGGAAGGGCAAATCGTATGTAAAACGCTTGTACTAATTGTGAGGCTTCCTCACATGAACCTTCCTGGAAAAGCTAAAGTACACAATATTAGCCTTTTTACTGACAAATGAATTTGACAATATTAAACAAACTAATCTAGATCAAGCACAACTCTGTTTTACAAAGAAATGATCGGGGGTAACATGTCTATTATCAAGTTCTACAGTTATGAAATCAAGAAAGGATTTAAAAAAATGAAATTACATAACTTAAGCTTTACACTAGGTTTGTGCCTCTGCACATGTCAAATCTACTTGTCAGAAAAAAATGACAGTCAAAACAAGCTATTATATGGGCCACCAAGAAGAGTGCTGATTAATGGTTCTGACCTCATATATAGGTATCTCAAAATTGTTTCCCCTGCCTACTAACAGATTACTTCTCTTTTAGTTTGCTTCTTACTAAATCAGGAAATGTCAAATTGAATAGCAAAGTGGCAGCATTATTTTGAAAGAGACATTCATGCATGTGGTATTAAAGGCACAATAAGTGTAAGTCAAAATATCCTGACATTCTTCATTCTTTCCAGTGAAAAAAGTAAAATTAATTTTTTTTTTTAGAGGAACAAAATCTCCAATTCATGTGTGGGATGTGCACGACTCTCTAATGCTAGCATTTTCAGAAGCATTCTGAGATTAAAATATACGTTTAAAAATTGCCAATTACTAAATTAAAACACCCTCTCTCTTTCTCTCTCTTGATTATACAATGCTGCCAACAAAGAAGCCTACATAATGATCACATCCAAGGAATGCCTGGTTTCTAGATGCCACTTTCTGGCTTCTGTTTCATTTCTGTGCACGCATGGCAAGTCAAAGAGAGATTTCTGTTGAAAGAAACCTGCTGGGTAAAACAAGGAATCCGTCCAAACTTCAACAGGGAGAATTGCTCTGCTGTGCATCACTGTTTTCACTGTCTGCTCAAAGATGAGGTGGTCCACAAACTGGAGCAACAGTGCAATGCAGTGTAAATATACATGGCAGAAAATATCCTTCCCATCAAGTTTTACTTTTTCAAAAAAATTACCTGCATATTCTACAAACCTTTGGCAAGATAGCACGGAATAACAAACAAAATCAACCACAATTAATTTAACAATAATCCAAGCAATACAATGACCATCAGCCAATTCAAAAATGAATCTAGCAATAATGGGGAACAAATAAGAAGCTACAGCAGTTTCAGATGGTAACTTTGTGTTCTGAATCTGGGCATGCTGTAATTGTGGTCTCTTTCTATTCACCACTCACTTGATCTTAGAAAAATGAAGTGCAGGCTTCTGTTACTCTCTGTAGTATAGTTATCCACGGTCTGTTTTGGCAGTCAGAAATGCAAATCCATTAATAGCAGACAACCATCATAAGCAATATATGCAATTGATGAGACAGTAATATAAAAGTTAGGAGCAAAACATTGCTTCTTCAGATGTTGAAATATGGTTACGGTAATCAACGTGGGACTTGATTTAAGGTTGAATTATTTAAACAAGTAATGTCAATTATGTCCCCCGATTGAGGCTGCCTCATATTTAAATGTGTGTGTACTCTGTGCATCCGGGTTTTCTCTCATGTGTGTAAGTTGATGACTGGCTCAGACGATGCATGTATTATAATGGTGGACAAATCAATTCCTTCAGCAATGCTGTTTGTAATTTTCTGTCAAGAATGCTGATTAATTGTTCCAGAAATGTGTGCACAAGTGAAATTTTAAAGCCTATCACTCACACAGGATTCGTATCCAATAATACACCACAGGGCTTGCAAGCACTATTCTTTTATATAATAAGGACTGTCCTTCCTGCTGCTCTTAAAGGTAATTTTCTCCCTGAGAAAAATGGATATGCTTTATGTGATCCAGGTCTATAATAGGAAGCTTCAATATAGTTTACATGACTCATCTGCATAATTTAGGTATATAGGCTGATGCTACATAACCTCAGCCTCACCAGTAATATCTGATGTAAATCATGGTTATCCAGTGTCATACCTCACAACTCTATTGGGACTTCCTGCTTAACAAAGGTAATTGGGACCTGAATTTCCATCGCTAAGTGATGTGGTTGTAAAGCATATTGTTGTGGAACTGCATAGTGATACGGTAGCAATCTCTGCAATTCCCACAGCTGTTGTTATGTGAAATTCCCAGGTCGTTAAGGAAGAACTTCATATGGCTACTAGTTGTGACTTCCTTCTGGCTTTTCACAAGGAAAGTCAATGGGAAAATTGCCTAGAATTTGCAAGCTGGCTGGATGTTGGGTGTGTACTACAGAGTGAGCCAGAGTTTGTATGTGAGTGTGTGTTGGCAGGGAAAGGTTTCTGTGACGCTGTATGAGTGCATGAGGGCTGAGGACGGGGTATTAAGGCATCACCTGAGTACATGCAGGTTAGGGAAAAGTTGCTGTAGTATCACTAATGTGTGCAGGCTACAGAGAGAATGCTATGGGAGAATAAGTGGTGGGAACAGCCTTCCCTGTAGGCTTTCCTGCAGACTTTGCTTGTGGGAAACCAGAAAGGAAAGGTCACAAATATTGATCACATGACTGCAGGATAATGCAACCATCAAAGTGTGAGCTGGTTACCAACTGCTCAATTCACAATCGTGTGACTGCAGAGATGGTGTGATGGCCAGAATTTGAGGACTGGTCATAAGTACCACTCATGTAGCATCATTAAAACTTTGAATGGTCACTTGAGCAAGTGGTCGTTAACTATATTGACTGCTGCTTTCAATTTAAAGGTTGCAAGAAAAAAACTAATTATTTTGCTTTTAAAATTATTATATTTGTGTCATGTTAAAGAGTACATTTGCAATAATAAAATGCAAGCTTCTAAGATCCAGGACTGTTTGAAATGTTTAATTATTTTAAAAACTGTTTCTTTCTCTATTACTGATACATATACATACTACAACTTTGTTGGTTGTATGTTTACAATTTATATTGTTTTATTTAGTTTCCTAGTATGGTTTTGTTTGCTTATTTAGTAGCCTATGACTATCACTAACTCTTGTATCTTATGATTCTTGATTAATGTATTTTTATGTATACTGAGACCTTATGAACCGAATTCCTTCTGTGTCCAATCACATTTGGCCAATGAAGAATTCTCTTCTCTTCTTTTCTCTTCTCTTATTATATGTATATAAGTATGCATATACATATCCTGGATATCCATAGGAAATAGTATCATTATTTAGAATGAATGATGGAAACTTTAGAGTGGTAATACAATAAAAAGAAAATTAAATAAATCTCTAAAAATGAGATGACACACCACCAAATTTAGATGAACTATAGTATAGCAAAACTGCAAAAGGTCAGAGGTAAGTCTTACTGAATTGTATGGAATATAGTCTCTACTTAAGCATGTATTTCCATTCCCCCCAGAATTCTGTTATGTATATTTGATACACTATCTTTGTGCAGCTTATGTTAACCTCAAGATACATATACCTATCTATCACATCATTTCCCCTTGAGGAAAGCAATGCTATGTAGAGTTCAGAACAAGAATAAGAAATTGAAAGCAAAAAAAGAAAAAAAGAATATGTACAATTAAAATTAAAACTAGTTTGTCCTAATATCAATCATCATACCTTTTGGTATCTCCCCCCCTTTTTTTTTCTTCTTCTAACATATCCATTCACTGATTCATACATTGCCTTTATTTCTTCCAAGGTCTTCCTTCAAAGATTCCCACAATTCTAACCAACCATGACTTTCGTTTTTTGATTTTCCTATTCTTGATCCATTCAGTCTTCCTTCATATATTTATTTTGTGCTTCAAATCTCATTCACTGTGACCAAAGCACCTCAATCACATTTGTTCAGTAGCCATTCATTCTGGATCTATCTCTTCTCTATTCATGTAATTTTTGCCTTTTTCCTTTTTATAGGGAAACTTTCTTTCAACTCCCCAGACAGATGCAGTTTATACAAACATATCAAACAAGTCCTGAAGCCATTCCAGAAGCAAATTACACCTACATTTTAGCATTTCTCCAACTAAAACCCAATAAAATTGATGATCATTAGCACCTGCTTGGTATAATTGGATAATCACACACCTGACTCTAATCCTATAAAACCTCTGCGTGCAAGTGTGCAAGTTTAAGAATTGATATTGCTTAAAGACAAAGAGTGATCACACCAAATATTAATTTGATTTGGATTTTTCTTCTGTTCATTAACTTTCCCTTAGGTTAATTGATAAAAATAAATTATCAACACTTCTATTTCTGAAAGCATCCTTAATTTACAGCATTTTTGCACAACTGCCTAATGCTTTTGCAGAATACTGTATTTCACTGTCCCTGAGGAGTAGTAACATCAAAATGTATTGGGCATATTTAATTTTCTCAAGGTTTTTAAAAGGCTAGCGCTGCTAGCAAATTTATCTTTAGCAGAATTACTCAAGGGTACTCATGTACTTTTCCTAGAGAGAAACTTATGAAAAGACAATTGAAGGAACACTGAAAATAACTAAGAATCCAGAAATATAAGAAATAAATAATAAAACTTTTAAAGGGAAGACAAAGCAGTACACAATAAACTGATAAGTTACAAGTACTTTATAAGCAGGGAAATATTATAAATAACAAAGAAGTATACTGGATAGTGAAATCCTGCATTTGTTTATCAAATAATAATAGGTTATAATTTTAAATTTATATATATATATATATTTATTTGTGTTTATATGCAGGATTGAAAAGTTTGTCTATATATTTTTCAAAAGCAAATCCATCACTCAAGGTAAAATATATATTATTTGATCAAATTACAGTGTATGACCTATTACATGAGATAGAAGGATCCTAGTTCTATTCAGCAAAAATAATAACAAATAATATCCACAAGATTCACTGTGATTACCCCAAGTATACAGGAATGGGTGATGATGACATGAAATCATTAGTTATTAGTAGAGGGCAGAAAAGAATGGAGAAAAGGGTACATTTTTATAGACAGTTACAAATTGTGCTGAAGAAAAAAGCATGAAGAATTACAGATAACCATTAGTAAAGAGATAAAGGGGATTTCAACACATAATGTGTTGAATTCTGAGGCATTGTCTGAAGAAAATGTACATTCAAAATATATTTTCTGTTATAAATCAAAATTCCACAAAATGACTATGTCAAATATGCAAGTTAAATCATCTCATGAATTATGTACATAGGGGTGTGTGTGTGTGTGAGAGAGAGAGAGAGAGAGAGGGAGAGAGAGAGAGAGAGAGAAAGAAAGAGAGAGAGAGAGAGAAGGTGAGAGGGAAGGAGGGAGGAGGAGAGAGAAACGAGAGAAGGAGAAAGGGAGGGAGGAGAGAGAGAAAGAGACGGAGGGAAGGAGAGAGGGAGGGAGAGAGAGATTATGTCTGAAAAAGCAATTTTGGTTTTTGGATAGATTCAGTATTAACGATAACACACACACACACACACATTCTCTCTGTTCTCTCTCTCTCTCTCTCTCTCTCTGTAAAAGGTCAACTGAAGGAGAGAAGATCAACTTAAGTTGCAACAAAGGAAGTCTGACAAGCAGCGATAATACACATTATGGGATAATTAGCCATATGTTTTCCTGTAACTGCCTCTATCTCATTGTTTTAACATTAGAAAAGATTAAAGATTAAACTATTTTTTCTGTATTTTGCTTTTAAGGAATATCTAGCTTAACATGTCATGATACCAGAATACTTTCTGCAAAGACTGACACAGGGAATGGAAAGTCGTATCTTATGCAAAATACACCAAGAATACCTGAAATCTGCCCATTAAATTATTAACTTAGCTATTTTGTTACTGATAGGAAATCAAAACTTATTTTAGTGTACTCCCAATACCAGAATACATGTTTTAGTTTTCTCATACCCCTAAATAAACGTGCTTTTTAGCATTCACAGAAAGATGACATGCATGTGAATGACCTCAGTAACACATCTGCAGATATAGGCAACAGTGATGCTCATTGTATCTCCATTAGTTAAATAGCTTTTAAATAACTATTCTGTTACCTCTGCCTGGGGAAAAGTGACAGACTGGATAAAATCTTAAAAAGGCCCAGAGAGATCAGAATGTGTTTCAAAACTAGCCTAAATAGTTCACCTTTGCCTATATATTCACGTATTATCAATTTTGTGAGAACTGTATATCTGTTATTGATTTGAACCATGCTTTTTCTGGATTGAAAATATTGTTCTTCATCTCCTTAAAAATGCTGAAGCCAAACAAGGTTTTGTAAGCAGTTTATTAGCGAAATGTTTCAGCTGAAATAGCTACTTCTGTTTGTACCACCACTAGTTACTTAATTGGCGTTCTACAGTAGCCTCAAACTCCTATTTATCATTCTATCCAATATTGGGCAGTGGTTTCCTTTTTTCACTTTGGACTCTATCCCTCTCCAAGAAGATCTGGAGATCCTATGCAATAAAAAGGAGAATTCATGAGATTCGTGCCTAGTAATACTTTATGATGTAATGTTCTGTCTATATGCATTTTATGTCAACTGGAAGTGTGTGAAAGGGAAAATTTTTATTGCATCATAAGAATCATGCATTTACTTATAAAAAAGTTAATATGAGCAATATGTGGATTAATTTATAGTTATTTGTAAGGATGGAGATGTAAGCCATTCTACATGTATATAGACCAGGGCTGTCAAACTCCCGGCCCACAGGCCACATGTGTCATGTGCTGGCCATGCCAATGTTCGGTTTAGCAAAGGGGAAAAAAATCCCGATACATCACATGACACTGCCATGACAACGTGACTTTGACACCCCTGATATAGACAATTGAGTATGGTATAAAAATGCTTTGTTTAACAAAGATAGGCTTAAAATCCTTGGAGTTAAATCAGATGCCTAGTGACTTCATGGATGCATCCATGCAATTTTCTCAACAGAAATGTAGGAGGATTCGACTGCTGATTTCAGCGATTTCTTCACTTCTTATTCTAGTCTATACTTTATGCTGTAGATTTCAAAATTTACTATTACAGTACTGCCAGATGATCTGCAAAAGTTCCTTACACTACTTAAAAAGTGATTGTTTTATCTATCTATCTATCTATCTATCTATCATCTATCTATCTATCTATCTATCTATCTATCTATCTATCTATCTATCTATCCAAATGAGTACAAGACTGAGATTAACTGGTCTTACTCAGAAACCAGTGAGTTAGTTACTATCTTATACAGATAATCATTCCATAATGTTAAGTATAATGGAGCAAAATATTAAGAATATAGAATACAATTAAGATTAATAATTCCTTTGTCTTCCTGTCATTTTGTGCAGCTTTATATACCACCTCATTATTGTAAAAGTTAAGTAATGCACATTGGCTGGGCAACACTTCAGAAATAATTTGGAAAAAATGCTTTGGAGTGCATAGGAGTGTGAATACAGCCACTATCTACATTTTGAAAGCAGTCCATTTGTCCTGGAGTCACACAGCCACCTATGAAAAGGCCTGATAATTTAAATTCCTGCTTTTATTTTATTTACCTTTCTCTATCGAATTGAATTTCTAACATAGGCATCATTTGTTTCTCTGGAGACATTCTATATTCACCTGTGTGTGTCTTATATCTGCATATACACATGTGCATAAATACTCTATTTTGCAATTGTATTTTTACAGGGATATTCTCAAATGTACCTTAAAGGATATTTCCGTTGTCATGGTGAATCCATGGGTAATGACCGGCTCCTCTTCAGCAGTTCGGCCTTTCCAGCAGTCCAGTTCAACACAGCGGCAGCCAGACAACAACACCTGACGATACATTTCTACAGAAGAGCTGCCGGCTAGCTGACCAGCTGCAAACAAAGAAGAAGAAACTGAATCAAGGCAATCCATTCTGGATTAATGGGCCTAAAGCATATTGTCTTAAAAGTATCAAAGTCTGCACCACCAATTTTTCCCAGTGGCAAAAGACAAAGTGATAAATAGATAAAATTAAATGCACTCTTGTCGGGAACAGAGATAGAAAATGACATAAGGGGCAAAATGAAATTAAAAGAATTAATATTCTAACCGTTTTGAATGTTTCTATTTTTAAAAATGCTTAAGAACACATTTTGGTGCCTTAATAAGAAATACTACAGAACTGCACACAGTAAACAAAGAATTATGAAAGCCTCTTTCTGTTATTTAATGGCATAGCAAATCTGATTTCTGAAAAAAATGTGGTCATGTCATTTAAAGATCAGGCAAGATGACTGTAATAGAATAATCTCTTTTTTAAAAAATGTCATCGAGTCTACATAGTTTGAAAAAGGCTGCAATCCCTTCTAATTTTTCAGAGAAGTTAAGCAGGCCTTCAAATCTTTCCTCATCCCCTGGAATTTTATATGCAACTATTTAAGCTATTTTACAATAGCCAATTGCACATCTAAATGGGCTTTACTTACCCAGTGTGAAATTCTTCAGAAATTAGCAAGACAGGTTTAGTGACTTTCTTATTGAACCAATCCTTGTTTAAGGATAATATGTTTCCAACCACTGAACAACTAATTAGGTCATCTACAAATTCATAATGATACACTTAAGGAAATAAACATCTTATTTCCATATGGTAAATACTAACTGATGCATATTTACCTTGCATCTTTAGCTTAATTTTTAGTAAGACAACAAAAATACCTGCAAAAACAGCTAAACTTCTAGAATTGTAGTGAATGCTACTAGCTTTATTTCCAAAAATATTGTTAAAGAAAATTGTTTAGGTTGAGTTGTTGCATTCTTGAAAACCAGCTTTGAACAGCAAAGAATCAAAGTAATGTTGTTGTCTCTCCCCCCCCCACCCCCCGAATACTGTTTAGGTGTGCCAAGCCTGACACTATGACTATAGCCAGTTTTCCTTTTTTACAGAACAAAAAGATCCTCAGGATCCTCGGAAGGTTGAGAGGCAGCGACAGATCAGGGTTGCAAAGAGAAAATATCAGCTGTGAACTTTACATAGGTGGCAGGAAGGGCATCTGGCCAGTAAATGCTCAGCTCCATTCAGCCGTCCTGACTCCAACCCAAATCAAGGCATTACAGGGTCGTAAAAAGAAAAGAAAAAAATAACCGTATCCAATCCATCATCATTGATAATGCTGGATAGAAGGGCAGAAGCTCTACTTCATTGACAACTATAAATGCGAAATATTTTCCATCTGGTATATAGGATCAATGGGAGATAGATGGCAGGGGAAAAAAAGGCAGATGAGCATCAAAATCTCAACACTGAATCACTTCAGATTCAATACCAGACTCTCTGGCATTTGTTCCTTAACTTGTTCGTTTGGTCATCAAAACAGACAGAAAGGTACTTAGGTAATCGGAGACTAAAGCCTTTTCATAGAACAGTAACTTCATTATCCATGATCATGCAATGGAAAGAGATTACGTATATTCTTTTCAGCCAAGAACGGGCAGAAGTTGAATTGGTTCGACACAAGAGGATGCCTGCTAGCTGGGAGCGGAAATCCAAGGAAATTATTTTTTAATTATTAGAAACAGTAGTACAATACGAAAACTGAAAAGCACTTATGGGAATAGCTTTATGCCACTAGTGCTTGCTTAGCTTTGAAGCCCAAAGAAGTCAGTTCATTATTGTCATCAGTTGAGAGCTATTAGGAGGCACCAGAGAACGAACCCAAAGGGATCTGCCAACCAACACAAAACTGGAGAATTTGTGATATTCACCCATATTGATACACTGAACCATTTCACTACATAGCTTCGCTTTCCACCCTTTAAAATGTCGCGTCTATACTAATGAAATTTGGAAATATGTACACAAAATGCTTTTACTCCAGCATCGTTGAGAGGAAGAGGGAAAATCAAAAGGAAACCTCTAGGTAGCGGGAGTTAAAATCAAAAAGTAACAGAGATTAGCGATACTTCTCCATTTTCCAAGATGCTATGATATTAGCAATGCATCTTTTTTGCACCCTTTTGTGGAGGGTGGCCGGGAAATCCAGAGTTGAAAAAAGCATGCAGAGAGAGAGAGAGGATAGGTAATAATAAACAGCTTGGCTTCAGGATAGAGGAAGTATAGCCTTCTTGCAGTCCTCATCTGCATGGAGGATGCAGTTCTTCTGTGCAGGAAGCAGCCATCAGGAATTATTACCGTCCATCTTCTGTGTTTTCCCCTGTAAGTGATTTGTGTGCTTTCAGAGAGAAAGAACTCCACATGAATACCTCCTCTTACTTGGAGATAAGACACTCTTTCAATCATCTCCTATATACCATGACTTTAGGGTAAAATAGGAGGCTCCAAAGATTGGATATAGTGGCACCATCTAGCCTGCAGTCTAGAGATCTGCCACCCGGACACAAAGAATCAACTCTGCAGGATGAGCTCTGCACCACTTTACACAATGGGGACAAGAGTGCAATGACAGAATAAATATGCCAAATAAAACATTTCTCATGCAGAAAAAAACTAAGGGCTCAAGAAGACTTTCGGGTGAGACTACTATTGCTATTATCACCACCTCTATTTCTCTTATGAAGCATTTAGTCACCTGAGCTTCATCTGAAGTTGCAACTTCCGCATCCTTTTACATTCAGCTCAGCAATTATTCAGGGTTCACAAGCATTTCCTTCAATTTGCAGGCTGTCCAAAATAGTTAAAAAAAGAAAAAAAAAAAGCTTTCCAACACTGCACTTGCTTGTTCCATCCAAACAATTTTGTGGGTTGAGGGAGCATAGATTTTTAACCTTGCTTTAAAATATTGACAGAAACTTTTTTTTTCATCTTTATTGTTGAGATCTGATCCTGTTAAAGGTGCTGCCATTCTAAAAAATGACTACTATTGTGGAGGGAAAAAAATCAATCATGAACAAGCTTCTTGGCTGAACGGCGTGCAAGAATAGACTCAGTTTTTATGATCTTCAGGCAATTATTAGAAATGCAAATTTTGCAGCTCCCATTCATGGATGCTCATAGACAGTGTCCATGAAACGTGATGGTAATAAACTATGTTGATAATCCTCATTCACACTGCTAAAGCACATACTGATTTCAAAGCAAGCCAGGCCTAAAAATAAATTGCTGCCCACTATTTGCTAAGACACGTACCTATTCCATATTTGGGGAAATCTCTAACAATGAATAAAACTGAAAAAAGGTATCTGTCCCCTCAGAAAGTATGAATGTTTGTAGTCAAGTCTCATGATAATTTGCTACCAAAGTGGTATAAAACTTTAAAAGTGGGGCAGAAAAGGAGAAAGAGAGAGGGAGGGAGAGAGAGGGAAAGAGGGAGAGAGAGGGAAGGAGGGAGAGGGAGAGAGAGGGAAGGAGGGAGAGAAGGAGAGAAAGGGAAGGAGAGGGAGAGAAGAGGGAAGGAGGGTGAGAGAGAGGGAGGGAGAGAAGAGGGAAGGAGGGAGGGAGGATGAGAGAGAGGGAGAGGGAGGGGAGAGAGAGTGTGTGTCACTGTCTCAATATCAACCTGTTTCATGTGTGAAAACTTGAAAATGTCAAAATAAAGAAATAATGGAATCAAACAGTTTAGACAAAATTTAGATCTAGAGGTAATTCAGCAAGGAGTTAATGTGGACAATATTTAGTATCTTACATACAGTCAATCAGAATAGAGCTGGAAGAGAACTTGGAGGTGTTTTAGTTAACCCGCTGCTGAAGCAGGAGACCCTGCCCTATATACCATTTCAGACAAGTGGCCGTCCAGTCTCTTCTTAAAAACTTTCAGTGATGAAGCACCCACAACCCCTGACAGTAAACTGTTCCATTGGTTAATTGACCTCACTGTTAGAAAGTTTCTCCTTAATTCCAGATTGCTTCGCTCCTTGATTAGTTTCCATCCATAGTATCTTGTCCTGCCCTCCTACATAGTATTTTCTATCACTTTTCAGAAACAGGTGGATAAACTTGTAATTAAACGAACAAATTACAAGTACCATGAACGAAAGTTACAATAGTTTTTGTAGTCTCTCATCTAATGGTTGTTCTAGTTATATTCGCTTTTCAAGAGCAGTGTGTCCTTAAACTGTAGCGCTACAAAGGCATCAGAATCTTCAGGCTTTCTGGATTGGATTCTCTGTCTTGTGCTTACCATGTAAATGAGGCAGCCCTACTGAACCTATTAAGTAAATTTCAGGCTCTTCTATAAACAAAGAGATCCTGTGTAGCACATTCTCCAACCTACCTATTAAAACTCCAATCCTCTTGGAGAAATCAGTAAATAAAGTAAAAGAAGGGTGGCTCTTTTATAGTTTTTACAATTCGACGCTTTTAGCAGTTCTGTCCTGACTTGGCTATCAAACCCTGGATCTCTAGCTAAGGACCTATATACCTATATCCTAAACTCTTCTCCTGGCCTTTAACTGAGTGAAACGGTACAAGATAGAGCAACCATTTTTGAACCGAGGTATCTCACACAGGCTAACTTACAACATGCATCCAAAATCTGGGACCCATGGCTCCCGAGGGAGTGAAATTTGGGGAAGATGTGGCTGCTTCAGTACTACTAGTTGCTGCTCCGACCCTAGCCTACTGCTGCAATCAACTAGTTTTCATTTTTAATGCTCCGTGATAGTTCTCCACCCAGTCTCACAATCCCTCACTCCCTTTCCTCACCCAGCAGCAGCTACTTACCAGCCTGCTAAGGGAAGGGAGGTGGAGGAGGGAGATTTCCAATGATTCCCACAAGGAAACTGAAACAAGAAGTTGGAAGCTGTTCTGGCTCCTGCTGCTTTTTTTTTTTTTGCCTGCCCTTGGTGATTCTGTTTCTCCCTTTAGGTAAATAAATATTTTTGAAACAATGATCCCAACAGGTCATCTTGTTTGTAACGGTTACTGGGATCTTGC